TTCCCTATATATTCTGGTTATCAGTCCTTTGTCTGATGTAGAGTTGGCAAATATTTTCTCCCACTCTGTGGGTGTTCTCTTCAGTTTAGAGACCATAAAAGAAAACTATCTTAGCTCATAAGTTACTCCACCTTAAAATCAGCTGCTTGTTCATTTTATACTAAAGTTAAAAACATTCTTGCTATCTTTAAAAATTCCAAACCATATAATTAGACACTAAATATGAATCAGCCTTCATTACTGCTTTGAAGAAGTAGAATAGCAACCACTATAGGGAAGTGGAATTTGATCAGGAAATCAAGAAAGAACACTGAAATTTTACTCTGAAGCCATATGGGAAATCACAAATTAGTCCTGACTCTTGTTTCCTCTTTGATATGGGATAAAATATGAACCACCACTGCCAACCTCCCAGCCCTAAAGAGAAGATACTAAGTTGCTGTTTTGTAGAAGGGGATTATAATAGAACAGGTATCAATGTGCTTTTCTTATAGAAAAGTGTTAAGATATTTTCACAAACCTCTTCACATGTAGGAACTCTATTTTCATTGTCTCTAATTCTCTCCCAGAGTGGGGACTCTGGTTTCCATGCCAAATGATCTAAGATCTGTTCTTCTATTTGATTAAGGTGTTTTACCACTTCTCTACACAGGCCGTCTTCTGCTCTAATGAACACTTCTATCACCTGAAATTAAAAAAAAAAGCCCTGGTTCATTTAACAATAAGAATTACTATGATTTTCCGTTCCCATGGTATCAAGAAAAAAAATTACTATGATTTTTCACACAATATTATTTATTGAGTGTAAAAGCAACATGGGCACATATATTTAAATATTTTTAAATATTTAGACAACTTATCAAAATTACAAATGGAAAGCATAGCACTATTTTGAAATAGCTGCTCTTCCTTTACTATCTTTGAAAATAAACTTTTAATTTACATATATAAATTACAAAAAATACTCTGTATAGTGATGTTCAGAATTTATAAATGAAAAAATATGCCTTGCATATTAAGTTTGAAGACATTACTCTTAAAGTTTAATATTAAAAGGCTAGGTGTGTAGTTCAGTGGTAGAGTATATGCTTAGTATGTACACTCTAGCATACACACACACACAAAGACATTGAAATTAATTTTGAGCACATGCTAAGTAAGTATCAAGAAGGAAACAGCTACAAAACCAGTGCTATAACTCTATGTCTTTCTATAATCAGTGAAAAAG